TGCCCAAGATCACATAACTAGTAAATGGTTGAAGTGGAACTCATTACACCATACTGCCTAGTCCTTTCAGTTTTATCATATAAGAAAAGTATAGCCTCATGTTAAATCTTAAAAGCAAACTAAAACACAGTGTTGTTTATTGTCTATCAGATTTTCAAAGGTAAAAAATGGATAATACAGGATCTTGTGTTATCAGGGGTGTTGATAGTGGTCATTCTCCAGCTCTGCTGGCAGGAGTCAAGATTAGATTTTAAAAACCTTTCTAGGGGGCAGCTGTCCTTCACTGCTACATTTATCAAGCTTACTTAGTTACCTAGTTTAGTAAACATAACTATTTGAAATAGGAGTTTAAAACTATTGTTTCTATGAAAACTAATTGGAGTGCTTTGGAAAGACTAGATGAAGGTAACCCAAAAACCCACTGCCATCGAGTCAATTCCGACTCATAGCGACCCTGTAGGGCAGAGTAGAGCTGCCCCATAGGGTTTCCAAGACTGTCATCTTGACAGAAGCAGACTGCCACGTCTTTCTCCCTCAGAGTGGCTGGTGGCTTCGAACCGCCGACCTTTTGGTTGGCAGGCAAGTGCTTAACCACTGTGCCACCATGACTCCTTAGATGAAGGCAAGTAATGCAGAAACTTCGTATCAAATTTAGTGTAGGTTAGAAAGATCAAGTAAAACTAACAGTTTAGAATTTTGCGCTGATAATGCTTTGTGAGTATCATTAAGTTCTCGAACCACTTTAAAGAAATCCAAACTAGAAATTATACACGCATCATACATGATGCTTTTACATTACTGTTGGATCTTAGATAAAAATAGTTAAGGTACATGTGTAACATCTTTTTTTTTTTAATGACTTTTCATTTTAAATGATTTCTTGATCAACCACTACTCCCAGTTACATTGTATGCAAGGACTTTTACCATTATTTCAAGAGCTTTATAGTCATATTTTTATAGCCATATTTTTTGACCCCGTAATACTCTTACGCAAAGGAAATAATCAGATATGTGCATATACTTGTAAATAAAAATGTTCATCACGTGTTTTCAGTAATAGGAAAAATAAAAATAACCAGCATTCATGTAATAAAGTATTACATGCTCATTTAAACTGTTTTCATTTTTTTTTTAATATGTAAGAAAATGTATTCTAATGTTAAGTGACAGAATGCAGCATATAAAACTAAACTGCTCGGGAGGGAAACAATCAGAACGTTATTGGTGATTGAATTACAGGTTGCCCCTGGGCTGTGAACGTTCAATTTATGGACAACTCGTACTTAAGAACAGACTGCTGTAAAGCCTATTATATTAAAAATTTCAGTTAAATACAGTGGCTTGTAATAATGAATGCACACACTAGTTTGTGACACTGATAAAAACATTGCTCAGTTTTGGAAGCGTTTAAGGGTTTTATATGCGTAGTAAACAAACAACCCTATTGCCGTCCATTCGATTCAGACTCATGGCGACCCTATAGAACAGAGAACTGCCCCATACAGTTTCCAAGGAGTGGCTGGTGGATTTGAACTGCCGAGCTTTTGGTTAGCAGTTGATCTCTTTAACCACTGCGCCACCAGGGCTCCCCAAAAGCCCACTGCCATTGATTCCGACTGATAACGGCCCTCTGTATGCATAGAAAAATAAAATATATGCTGTACACTAAGACAAACATTTGACTAACTGATGCTAAGTGAGAACCGTATGTTACTTCAGCTCACCTACAAATTCAGCATAAAGACAAACTTAGAAACAGATCTCGTTCATAACCTAGAGACTGCTTGTACTGTTGATTATTTATTTTAATTTATTTTTAGAGTAAGTAATACTTGTTTGAGACACAAAATTTGGTATGAAGGGAAAAAGTTTTTCTACTACATAGTTCCCCAGCTTTGCAGCTCACTTCTGTGCAAGCATTCTGTGTTTATTTGTGATATTTTAAAATGAGAGAAAATTTTTTCCATGTTTATTTCTGATTTTCTTTTTCTTCCATACAACCCACTTCTCCCTGCCCCCAAATCCAGAGTATGGAGTGAGAGAGAGAGAGGGACAGGACATACTCTTCCTGCACACATCTGGTTTTGTTCTCTTTATGACTTGTCCCACCTTTGACCTTCACGTACTCCTGTTGATACAAAGGTAACTGCATCTACAATCATTAAAGGCGATACTGTCTCTAGCCCAAAGAGCAAGAGACATACCATTTTCACTATATCACTGCAGAAATTTAAAAACATAGAAAAGCAGAGAGGATAGTATAATGAACAGTATCCCCTGTACCCATTACCCAACTTCAGCAATTATCAACACATGACCAGTCTTCTCTCATCAATTTCCCCCTACTCTGCGTAGATGCTAAACATCATCCCATTTCATATGTATGATATATGTATATCTGAAAGACTCTATTAAAAAAAAAACACAGTACCATTCAACTAAAAATAAGTAGCAATAATTAATAATAATTCCTTACTCTTATACACTGCTGGGGGGAATGTAAAATGCAACCTCTTTAAAAACAGTTGGGCAATTTTCTTAAAAAGTTAAATATACACGTACTGTGTGACCCAGCCATTCTACTCTTAGTATTTAGCCAATAGAAATGAAATACATGTTCATGCAAAGACTTGTATGTGACTGTTCGTAGTAGCTTTATTAGTATTAGCCAAAAACTGTGAACAACCTAAATGTCTATCAACAGATGAAGAGATAAACAAGGGTAGTATATCCACACCGTGGAAATACTGCTCAGCAATGAAAAGGAATGGATTATTGATACATGCAGCAACATGGATGATTCTCAAAATAGTTATGCTGAGTAAAAGAAGACAGACCAAAAAATAATAAGAATACATGCCATATGATTTATATAAAATTCTAGAAATGCAAACTAATGTATAGTGACAGAAAATAGATCAAGTGATTGCCTGGGGCTGGGGCTAGGTGACATCTGAGGGAGGGAGGGATTGTAAAGGGCACAGATAACTTTTGGAGATGATGGGTAGGTTCACTGTCTTAGTAAGGTTTTGTGGGTTTATGGGTTTATACATATGGATATGTACAGTTTATTGTATGTTATACTTTAGAACGTAAACAAATAATTGCTTAATATCATCACATAGGCAGTGAGTATTCAAATTTCCCTAATTCTTAAACATTTTAAAAGTTTTCTTTTTAAATTAGGATCTAAGCAATGTCCACATGTTGCATTTAGTTGATGTATTTCTTAAATCTTTTTTAGTATGTAGACTCTTCCTCTTATTTATTTTTCTTGCAAATTATCTGTTGAGGACAAAGTCACATGTCCCAGAGAATTTCCATTTTCTAGATTTGTTTGCATCAGGGTTGTATCCTTTTACCATACTTATTCTATCCGTATGCTCAGCAAATAATCTGAGAAGCTGAACCATATGAAGAAGAACATGGCATCAGGATTGGAGGAAGACTCATTAACAACCTGCGATACGCGGATGACACAACCTTGCTTGCTGAAAGCAAAGAGGACTTGAAACACTTACTCATGAAGATCAAAGACTACAGCCTTCACTGTGGATTATGCCTCAACATAAAGAAAACAAAAATCCTCACAACTGGACCAGTAAGGAACATTATGATAAATGGAGCAAAGATTGACATTGTCAAGAATTTCATTTTACTTGGATCCACAATCAGTGTCCACAGAAGCCGCAGTCAGGAAATCAAACGATGTATCGCATTAGGCAAATCTGCTGCAAAAGACCTCTTTAAAGTGTTGAGAAGCAAAGATGTCACTTTGAGGACAAAGGCGTGCCTGACCCAAGCCATGATATTTTCAGTTACCTTATATGCATACAAAAGCTGGACAATGAATAAAGAAGACCAAAGAAGAACTGATGCCTTTGAATTATGGTGTTGGAGAAGAATATTGAATTACCATGGCCTGCCAGAAGAACAAACAATTCTGTCTTGGAAGAAATACAGCCAGAGGGCTCCTTGGAAGAGAGGATTATGAGACTTTGTCTGACATACTTTGGACATGTTATCCGGAGGGACTAGTCCCTGGAGAAGGATATCGTGCTTGCTTAAGTAGAGGGTCAGCGAAAAAGAAGACCCTCGATGAGATGGACTGACACAGTGGCTGCAACAATGGGCTCAAACACAACGATTGTGAGGATGGCGCAGGACCATGCAGTGTTTTGTTCTGTTGTAGAAGGGGTCGCTATGAGTCGCAGTTGACCCGATGGCACCTAACAACAACAGATTTTTCTCATTGCATCCCCGTGGTGGTATTTAATGGGTTACTTTTTCTGTATTTCCTTTAAACTCGTAGTTTGTAGTTTAAGCTTGATTGTGTTTATGCTAGATTTTTTCGGGGGGGGGGATAGTAAGAATAGTAGTAGTGCGGTGTATTAATTCCTATTGATCCACATCAGGAAGCACATAATGTCTGGTTGTCTCCTTTGTGATGTTATAATCGATCATTGGGTTTGGAGGTTGTCAGTTTGATCTGTGCATTATAAAGTTCCCCAGCAGCTCTCTCTGTTTTCTGCCTTCTGTTCTGCCCACAGTGCAGATTCAGCTCTTACCCCACATCACTGCAAACAGAGGGCACTGGAGGCGTCTCCTGTCCTCAGGGCCAGTCCAGCTCACAGCTGAGCAGAGCAAACGGAAAACCAGGGGCGCTGGCCTTGGTAATCAACACTTGAAACGATATATATCCAGATGCTTTGAGGAACGCTTGAGGAACTTCTAGAACTGAAAGGTGGACCAGTTTCCTGGAGAAAAAGGAATGGATGTGAGCCCAGGGGAGCCATATTTCTCATCTCTGGCAAGTAAATGCTAAATTCAAGGAGCCTGAGAGGCCCTGGATAAGATATGCTCTGCATCCAGTTTAAGTCAGGTTTAGAAGTATCATTTACATGAGCTCTGACATGCACACGGTCATGTAACCACCATCACAATCAAGATATAGAACACATGACCCCAAAAAGTTTCCTCTTGTCCCTTTGTGGTCAATTCCTGTCTTTCTCGAGACACTGGTAATTCCCCCCGCCCATTGTTTTACCTTTTCTAGAACGCCTTACAAATGAAATCTACAGTGTGTAGCCTTTTGCGTCTGGCTTTTTCCACTTAGCATATTATCCATGCTATTATGTGATCCAGTTGTCCTTTTTTATTGCTGATTGGTTGATAATTTTTATAGGAAAAAACAGTAGAAAAATCAGTCTAGGAAAGTAAACATTTTAACTTAGGTAGGGACCATACATCCCAGTTTGCTTGGAACAAACCTGGTTATGCCTATTGACCCAGCATAATTTTTAGTAGACCTCCTTTTACTCTCAAAAGTGTCTTGGTTTAGATGATAAATTACATAGTCACTCTAAACTGAAGTCATAGTTGACTTGCTGTAGAGTGTTGTCAGATTTGCCTTCCAAAATGCACCAGAATTGAATATATCTATATTTAATATAAGTATTATGGTGATAGCAGTAATAACTTATATGCTTTCTTATTTTGATCTTCACAGCAAAATCTCCATTTTACATTTAAGAAAACAAATTCAGAATAGGTTAAATGAGCTGCCAGAAATCATGAGCTAAAAAGTGATACCCTGTGTTATTTCTCTACACGTGCCGTCCTTCACGTCTCACTCGTTGGTAAGCTGTGTATTGTGTTGGGTTAGGAGGGCAGGCAGTGGCGACAGTGCTGGGCTCCAAGCTTGCCTCTTGCCACTTTTATGCTGTGTCACCTTGGACAAGTTTAGTCTTTCTTTGCCTCAGTTCCTCACCTATAAACAGAGAATAATAGAATATATCTACAATACCTGTGCTTGGCATGTGGTAAGCTCGCAGTAAAGGCTATTATTTTTAATGGTATTGTTATGTGATTAACACCATTACAGAAGAATCCTCCCCAAAACAGACAGACAGAGGTGCAATGAATTTCTCTTATATATGGCCTTTCTGGCCTTGAGTTTATAATTCTGTCAAAAATGATTGGCTAGGCCACAATCTTGCATGGGATTTGTTAGTTTACTATGCAGATAAGAGTGTGTAAAAGCACCCAGTGGGATTAAGTGACCTTGTGGGCATTGGTTGATTATTATGCAAATTGAGTGATTGTGGTCTACCAAGGGGATTGGTCAGTTTGTGGTCTGGCTGGGAGGGCTGGGCCTTGAAAGTGAATATAAGGGCCAATCCCACAGAGATTGAGGACTCACTACCATCAGGAAGAGCCTGGAGTGGAGCACATTCTTTGGACCTGGGGTCCCTGTGCTGAGAAATCTAGATTCTGGAGAGAGAGAGCTGTAACAGCTGTAACACTGAAGACAGCAAGAAGCAGCGGCAACCACGGCAGAGAAACGGCGGCAGCAGTATGAGCGACGGAAACCAGGAGACTGGCGTGAGGCAGCTGCAGTGGGCTTGCCGGCCCACAGAGCGAGAGTGCTGAGCGCTGTGGGGCAGGAGGCTTGCCGGTGGGGTGGGGTGACTGGGCATTTGTCGGCAGAGCTAAGTAGAGCAGAGGCCCAGAGAAGGGCCTGTTGTCTGGCAAGGCCAAGAAAAGTTCGCCTGCCTGCGGGCGCGGCCAAGAGAAGGGCCGCCTGCCTGCGGGCCGCGCCCAAGAGAAGGGCCTCCTGCCTGCGGGCGCGGCCAAGAGAAGGGCCACCTGTCTGCGGGCCGCGCCCAAGAGAAGGGCCGCCTGCCTGCGGGTACAGCCAAGAAGAAGCTGAGAGCTGTCTTGGTTGGAAGCGGCTGAAGAACTGTATCCTGTCTCCTGAGTTGTATCTTGTTATTTCCAAGTCGATCCTGATCTCGGATTATAGCCTGTTACTTCACTAAAAAACCACATAATCATGAGTATGGTCTGTGAATTCTGTGTGGCTATTGCAACGAATTATTGAAGCCAGCAGAGAAGTAGAGAGTGCAGTGGGATTGGGGGGTGGGGGCGGTGCTGGTGTCAGAAATGGTGAAAAAGTTGGCTAGTGGAGGTATGTCTGATCACCATTTCATAGGAATCAGCTTTGTGCTGATCTTGATCCTCATCCCTCCTCTTGAAGTTAGACAAGTTCAGACGTTTCATTACACAGACAAACTTAGCCCTGTGTAAAAATAATGGAGAATGTTTTGTGTTTTCTCCCTTCTAATGGAAAGAAAAAGTAATTATTACTCTCTAGTAGAATGGGACTCAATTATGAAGCATCTTTCACATTTAGGTAAATAGTTTAAACTTAGTATAGTAAATTAGTTCCACAAACTGTGTTCCTTGGAACATCTTTATTTTTCAGATAGTTCATAAACCAAAACCCAGCCTGCTGCAGAGTAGAACTGCCCCATAGGGTTTCCGCGGAGCAGCTGGTGGATTCAAACTGCCAACCTTTGGGTTAGCAGCCTCGCCCTTAACCACTGTGCCAGCAGGGCTCCAGACAGTTCATGGTATCTGTCAAAAACAGTAGGATGGTGGCTAAGTTTTAGGAATTGCTAAGTTAAATAAAATTATGCAGGTTTCTCAGAGCTGTTTTAATATATTTAATTTCCAAGAAATAGTTTTACATGCAGCATATCCATCCTTTAAAATCTATATGGATACTCTAAACATAACTTGAGAGACTCAGTAGGAAACACTAGAGAATTATCGGAAATTTGAGGATGTTGCCCTGAACACTACAGACAGTGAACAGGATGATTTGTAGGGAACAAGAAGAGCCTGGCAGCATAAAAATAAAATAATTCTTAGAGTAATTTAGTCTTGAAGTCATGGGGATAGAGTTCTGACAGTAAAAAAGGAAAAATCAGGATGGAGCCATGAAATATTTTGAAGAAAGATTTAAGAAGACTTAGTGATTGCTTAGGAGAAAGAGAGGAGCCAAGCTAACGCCCAGGTTTCTAGTCTGGAAGAAATTTGATGCCAGTAATTTAACATGTGGTAGCTAGGAAGGGGCAGCTAGTAGGTTTGAAGTTGGAAAAGATTGATGAGATTTGTTTTAAATGTTTTGATTTGGACCTAGCAGTGACAGATTAGTGAACTAAACATCGAAGTTAGGGGAGACGTTGCGTCTAAAGAAATAGCTGAAGCCGTTAAAGTACATTTTCCTCACTTTAGTGTAGAGAGAAATTGCTAAAGGAAAAGTAACCAAAAGAATGGTAAGGGAACAGATTAGTCAGGGTAATGCTGTGTCATGTGATCAAAAAGATTCAGAGAGGGCCCAACAGAATGATGAAGGAGCTAAATGGTGATGAAGGTTGAGAAGAGACTTCAGAGTTGGTTTGGCTGATCTTGGTGATCATTGTCAGTGCTATAAGGGTGCCTCTTATAGCTTCTAGTGACCTTGAAGGTGCAATTTTTTTTCTTTTTTTTTTTGCAGATAAGAGGGCAAAATAGAAGCAAGATTACATAGGGTTAAAGAGAAAAGGGAAGCTAAAAACCACTCATTGTAGAAATTTGGCAGGAAAGGGAAACAGAGGATAGGAGTTGATAGGGGAAATATGAGCATGTTTGAAAGGAGAAGGGGAGGAATCTGTTCAAAGGGAGAAGCGGAAGATACAAAAATACGTGTGGGAGCAAAGTCTCAATGGAGGTGAGAAGGCAAGCATTGAGAAAATTAGAGTTGCCCTGATTTTGTAGAAGTTAAATAGATTCTATGAAATGTTTCCTCTAAGTATTGACATTTACACTTTTTTCACCTGTATGCTGTAAGGTAGTTATAGAGTTAAGCCACTTTTGATAAGATAAACCAAACCTGTTGCTGTTGAGTCGATTCCGACTCATAGCAACCCTATAGGATAAATTAGAACTGCCCCCTAGGGTTTCCAAGGAGCAGCTGGTGGATCCGAACTGCCAAGTTCTTAACCACTCTGCACCAGGGCTCCTTTTATAAGATAGTGACTCATTATATTAAAACATTAACTTTTCATGTAAAAATCATTCATGTTCATTGTATACAATAGAGAAACGTGAATAAAGAAAAAAAAATCAACTCTGATCCTACCAGCAATAAATACTTCTGTTAGTGTTTTGATAGAGCCATTTTGAATGGGTAGATGTTATGGTCTTATTTATATATACCTTTTGAAAAACCAGGATTATGCTGTGCATTTAGTGTTCTACCCTGCTTTTTGAACATACCATTATTTTATGAGCCTTCTTCCACTTCATGCAACATTTTTGAAAACAGTGTTATTAACATTCCATTTTAAGCCTTGAGCCCGTTTGGATCAATCTTGGCTTTCTCAATCCTCTTCCCCTCACCCCACCCCCACCATCTTTTTTTTTTTTTTTGTGCTTAATCCTAGTCATTTTCAAACATAGAATGACATTATTCTTGAATTTTCATGAAATTAGAGAACAGTTACCATGGATACCTGCAAGTTGTTTGATTATTGTGGTGCAAAGCTACTCCATCTCCGCAAATCTTCAATAACTGTAGAGATTCCAGACTGAATGTTAGATCATGCAGCTGGTGGCGGGGTGACTCTTAAAACTTACTTGGTTGGTTAGATGGACTCAACGGTGGTCTGCAGTTCAGGAAAGTTTGAGACGTGAGAGCTGCCCTGGCGTGATGTGGAGGAGGGAATCCAAAGGCTGTCCTGCTGCTGGGCCATCCGGTTAGCCCTCGATATGCTCCAGGTGGGGCCAGGGCCAGTCTGCTCTGGTGGGTGGCCACGGCCCTCATAGCCAGCTCTGGGGGTCACCTCTCTGCCTGCTCTGCCCCTCAATTCCCTTTTTATCACCTGGGGATTTTTTTTTTTTAACGCATGATCCAAATTCCATTATTAAACATAGGTATTACAGATGCCACAGCAGTTACTGAGACTCTGGCAGCTGAGTTGAGAAGGAGGGAGTCAGTATCTCCAGGCCCTAAAGATTGTCCTAGAAAATCTCATCTTTACCTTCTCATTTTTACCCTTCACTGAAATTCTTGCTTGAAGAAAATGTCCAGGCTCATCCTTCCCTTTCACTTTTTGGGTGCCAGCTGCCTCGTGGGAAAAACTGTGATTTGTTTTCAAGCCTGATAAATCCCCTGGTGGACCTTAGAAGAGAAAACAATAGGTTACCTATATAGGGTAAGGGAAGGTTAGGAAGTAGGGCTCCCTTTTAAGTTATGTTCATCTCTCTGTATCTCTTCAGAAAAATTAGTACTTTCACTTTTTTTGGCTTGAGTAAGCTTTATAAAGTTCCGTTATTCAGGACTGAAAATGTTGATTCTACTGTAGTTGGGAATGAATTGGATTCTATTAATGAAAACAGAGATACTCTACCACTAACTAAATTACTTTGGGCAAGTTATTTGATCTTGCTGGATCAAAAAAGAGAGGATGAAGCTTTAAATCCTAAAACCTGTTTTTCTGTTGATGTATTTTATTATTATAAGGCGGTGATTATAAACTGTTTTTAGCCTCAACACTCCTGGAGATACCATACATGCCTCTTGTAATCGTGACCCTGTGGTTGTGATTGGAGGAGAATCACTGACACAAGGAATGTTAATCATCATGATTCTTTGTACACAACCATGCCTTTTTTTCCCCCAAGAAGAGGAATGAAATTGCAGTGTTAGATACAATGTAAATAATCAATATACTATAGTATATTAAGGCAAAAAAGAAAGCTTAATTTCATCTTGAGCTGTAACTTAAGTTATTAAAGAGAAAAGTCTAGA